ATACACCGCCGGCCTCCTCGTACAATGATAAGACAAGATCAACAACAACAACAACAACAACAACAACAGCAACAGCAACAGCAACAGCAACAGCAACAGCAACCACAACCACAACCACAACCACAACAACAACAACACCCACAACCACAACCACAACCACAACCACAACCACAACCACAACGACGACAACGACAACGAGAACGAGAACGAGAACGAGAACGACAACGACAACGACGACAACAAGAACAGCATCAACAACCGCCACAACCACCACCACCACCACCACGACGACGACGACGACAACAGCTGTGACAAATGCTAAGAAAAGTTTCGCAAGATGGTCAAGAAACTCACAGTTGAGACAACTGCATCCTTCCCACAAGAACCTACCCTTTGGATGGCAAAAGAATTGCGATGCAAACACTTTTGAAGGAGCTTGCTTAGGCCTAAAATTGGGCCTAAAAGCAAGTTTTGTACTTAGAGGCAACTGAGTGTAACTAAATAACTGAAAATATCCTTACCTTTCTCAATACCTCCTCTTGCTCAAGGAAACACATAGTTTCAAAGGCTGTTTTTAATAAGGGAACAATGTATTTGAATGACGGGACATCTTTAGATGCAATGAATAGAAAAGGCTCTCTTCAAGTAACAGTAATCAATATCGCGCTTACATTAGGTGTGGAAAAGATCATCATATAGAAGCTGGCAAGTATATCGTACAAGACGTACAAGTAGGGCTATGGGCAAGTCAGCCCTTTTGGTGGGTGCCCTACGTCTTGGAAGAGGGTATGCCTTCAAGTGAAAAAAACAGGTGTATACGGATGTCTTCTCAGATGCGTTCAGCAGGCATGTTTCAGAAAATACTGTTTAATCCACTTGGCACCTCATGTGTGTCCTTGCCTATCGGTTTGTCGATTCAAATAATTAAATCCCTTGACATGGAGATGGATGGTGAAGTTCTGCTATGAAGCAGCATCATTCCTCTCACACATTGACAACGAAGGCTCCTCAGGCTTCAAGATTTCCCGAAGGAAAACGAACAGGTTGTGGGAGACAAACACGGGGCTGTATAATTGAATGCTGGAAAAGCCCTGAACACTGGCGAGAACATGGGCACAAAGTAAGGGATCACGTGATGAAAAACGCACCAATACAAACATTGTGATATTTGGGTTCAATCATCTTACAGCCAGGCGCTTTGGGGAGCAATTCTGCAGCCAGCCCCTGAAAACTCACTTCTTTTCCTTTCTGGCACACTTCTTTGCCCAGCCTTGGGGGTTGACTCCCATGGACCATACGTGGTAAAACCTTTGTTTGGAGGGTGGCGTTCTTTCCGTGGTGCAGTAGACTTTACAGGGCGAGGCCCTTGTTACAGGAGAGGCCCAATAATTTAAAAGGCTATTTTCTTAGTGGAATCTTTCGAAGGGCAGCATTGTAGAAAGGATGGGACCCTTAGCAAGATGGTCATTATAATGGGGAAAAGGCTTCTTCCGAGATTTGCAGCAATAAATGCTCAAGGCAAGCTACTAGCTCCAGGCGCTTGTAAATATACGACAGTTCGTACACTCAAAGACATTGTCGGCTATCTAAAACAGAAAGTCCTTACCTTCTGACATTAACATGCCATTTGTCGTTTGTTGCAACTAGAAACTGATCCAAGGTCGATCCTTGGGGGCCAGCATGCGCATGTACATATCATATAGTGTGTAAACATACAGTTCATAATAGCAACAACAAAAAATACAGCAACAAAGACTATAACCACAACAACAACAACAACAGCAACAATTGCCGCATGCCACTTTGGTTGGGAAATTCCACGCAGACCCATGGACAATACTGTGCCATCTCACTTTGCAAAAGGCCAACACAAAAGTGATTCATATTACTGAGCATCTTGTTTGATTCTGGTGCCTCAGCCAGTTGCTGCCCTGAGGGGGGCAGGTCGTGGAGGAGGAGAGAAGTCAGAAGCAGCTCAACTGTATGCCGGTGGGGCTGACACTACGCGCCTGCGGACCTCTTTGGGATTGCCGGCGTCTAAGGGATGGCACGCTGCAAGCCTGCACGCTTCTCAACGCTCTATTTCGCACAGTTCAGGATTGCCGGAAGAAAATGGAGGATGCTCATGGAAGACATCAAGGAGAACAGCAGGAGGAGACAAAGGAGGTTGAAAAGCATAAAGACCCAGCTGGAAGGGGAAGAACCGGACAGCGAGAGAGGTTGGTCTTGATGCAACCACCAAAGATTCTCCTTAGCTTGGGCCTGGTCAAAGAGGGCGAGATGTAGCTTGTTGAGCGGAGCGTGCTCTATGTGGATTGAGGGAGTCTGCCAAGTTGTGGGGTGATTGCAGGAACATTGAGATCAGCCAGATCACGAGTCTTCGCACTGAGGAAGCTGACATTGAGTTCCAGAGCTTTGCAGAAGAAACTTCGGCTCTTGATAAAGAAAGAAAGACACTCATGACAGGGCGGAGGTCATCGGACTGGCCTTGGTCCATATGTAGACGACGGGCTGCAAGGTTTCCGAAAAACTTTGGAAACGTCTGAACCAGCGTGGGTCGTACTGTAGCGAACCAGTGAGGTAGTGCGGCCTCAAAATCAGCCGCGTGGAGAATGGCGACTCTTCGCTAACCAGTAGCTACCTGTCTTGCGGTGCCACTCCATGGAAGACGCGGCCAGCTCTCAAGTCATGAAGGACAGTCAAGAACCAAAGGATGAGATGGGCAAGACGCCAGGCGTAGCAGCTGGCTGGAGAACTTCTTTGATTAGCCGGATCTGTTCAGCCATCAGCAAGGCCCGGCCCCAAAATGGGCGAAGGGGACACCCTACCAGGTGATGAGGCATCTCAATTATACCCATAGACTTGGACTTTGGTTCCGACATGGAGCCAACAAGATCCTGGAGTCGGTCAGCGATGCGTCCTATTCGCCAGGAGCAGCTCAAAGCCATGGCGTGGTCATTGCCACACTGGGCGGCACCCAGTTGCTTGGCGCTCACACAAGCAGCCGTTTCCGGCACTGTCGACAGCCGAGGCGGAGTTGATTGAGGTGATCGAGGCAGTTGCAACACAGCGACAGTGTCGATCCCGTTCGGCCATCTGAAAGTCCGGGCAGCACATCTGCGATGGAAACTGGAGTCCGGCGCCTGCAGCCTGGGCGCGATCTCATGGCGGATGTGGGAACGAACATCACCTTAGCCACGCCATGCGCTTGGTGACTGTTCGCCATCAAGGAGAACACAGCAGAGAACTGGACGGAGCCACAAGACGGGAACATCATCCTCGCCGCCTTTGGCGCCCTGATGATCCTCGGGGTGCCCATGAAGGTCTTGGAGAGGCTTCGCAGATGGTGGACGGCCCAACCAACCTGGAATGAGGCACCGACTGTTTTGGTCCAGGCATCGCGGCTTGGGCAGGAAGAGGCTACATCGTCTTGGTGGCCACAATGGAGGCGTAACAGGAGTTGCCTGTGGTGAGAAGGGGAGGAAGAAGAATGGTGCTGAGAAACCAGTTGTGGCAGGCTTGGTTCGCTCCATCAGGGAAATGCTACCACCACAAGGCTCGCCGCTGCTGAGGCCTTCGCAGTGCGGGGTGAATCCAGGGCATCACGTTGTGCCAATGCTGCCAAAGAGCCACACAAGGACAGCGTGGCTATGATGAGACCTCGGTGCTCTACAAAACTGAACTGGATCATCTCCACACAGATCCGCGATGTGGTGGCGTCAGACAGACAGCTAGGGCCGATGTGCGGGTCAATGAACGGTCCGAAAAGGACCAGGAGGAGTGCAGGAATGAATGACCCTGAAAGCGAAGGTGAAAAGGTGAGTAGGCACGTTATTTTGATCCTAGATGATGCGAATCGAGGTGATCTGTCGAGGTTCATTTGGGCGATTCATGTTGGAGCAAGTCTTGCAAAAAAACGTGCACACTTGGAGCAGGTCTGAAGCTCTGTCGTTAGGCTGTCAGGTATGTTCGCCGTTTCGGACTTCTCTCCCTTGGATTCAGGCGGACTGTGGACGCACCACAACAAAAAAGTAAAAGGAATTCAGGGTTGCACTTCAAACTTTGAGGGCTAGCCTTGTGCAATTGGCAAAATGAGGTCGAGGCTGCACACTGAGACTGCAAGACACCGACGCTTCACACACACACACACAAAACAAAACAAAGAAATGCATGATATTCCAGCAATGAGTGCAAAATGACAATTTGCCACGACCCTACCGGTCCGAGGGAGATTTTGGGTACATAATGTACATAGTGTGTTTGCATGTGTTTGCGTGCTGTGCTGCTGTATATTTTTACATATACTTTGTTAATCCGTCTCCCTGCACAGGCTAGCATAGAAACTCAAATTCTGCAGAATGTGTTTTGAGGTTGAAAACATCAAACACAGAAACAGAGTGGTAACTTGCTTTATGTACCGCGAGAGACGTAACTCTGTAGGATCCATGTAGAAGCGGCTGTTCATCAATCAAAATGAGGGAGCTGCATCTGAAGCATCATCTCTCAGCCTGCCGAAAGGAATGCCACAAATTGCATGCCATCCCTCTCAATGTGTTTTTTTGCCTGCTTGTAGTACGGGTAGCAAGGATCCCTTCAAAACGTGCGACTACCTTGTGAAAATCACATTCACCAGTGGTTGGGTTTCAGACCTGGGCTTCTTCCTCAGGCTTATCTCTGAGGCATCGGTCATAATCCGCCGTCACCTCACCTGTCATGTTATTTGAACTTCACGCGAACGAACAGTATCTTTCAATATCGTTCAACGACATGCTGCAATGATGCACCTTGCTGTAATCCGTGTTGCGTGCTGCCAACGCCAAGTCACCACGGTAGCAGCATCGCCGTCTACTCACTGATCCGAAACAGCCAGCTCTGCAGAATATGTGCACAACTACATAGCAACGAATCGATCTTCATGAGGGGAAATCATCTTTGTCAAAACGTTTCAAAATGATTGGATTGATTGGGTGTGGCCAGCGCAGATTTGCTGGGCACTTGGCTCTCCCCAAAGAGCTTCCCAGCCTGAGAAGAAGCTATATGACGTTGCAAGGGATTTCCATCTCACTGCGACCTCACCTGTCTTCACTTCAGCGTCAGTGCTCCAACGCAAGGTGAAGGCCTTTCAAAATGGTCAAGAGTCCTGAACCGTATTTAATATGCAAGTTGCCGCCAGAAGTGCGATTTCGACCTGGCCTTGGCTGCTATTGCAGACTTCAGTTCTGACTCTAATATGCTGTCATCACATCTGCGGCACACCTTTTGCAGGTTGAGCTTGTGTCTGGGTAACTTTGAGCATGAAAAAACTTAAAAACTGCATGCCTCCCACAAAGCCCGGGCCAATGAAATGCGATAGGAGTTCCTCTGTGTGTCATCCGTTCGAAACTCCTGGAACCACCAACTGGGCCGCTGTAGCCAACTCCAAGTAGCAGCTTGCGTTGTTTCAATTGAGAAGACCCAACAAATGCAAACCGACTCTTCTGTTTGGAGAAGAAGATATCTTGATGGACAGAAGTGGAGCTTTTGTTGGGTCGGTTGCTCGATTAAGTCACACACATGTATGACATGTTGCGAGACAATGTCCGCGAAGAAAATGCCCAAGGCATCTTGAACATGCCTGCAATAAGTTCAAGTCTCCAAGCTCAGTCCTGCTCTTGTCTGAGTAGTTTTTCAAACACCACCTCTGCAGCCCCGCGCTCAAAGCATCTTGCTAAGTGTCTAAGTTGAACCGAGAGGACCATGCGAAACAGGGAATAGATTTGCTTCAATCACCTTCAATGTCAACCCTGGGTCCCTAAGCGTCTGCCATGTTTCGTTTCGGTACAGTAGGCCAGGTAGGCAATTCTGTGCTCTCTGGTGCCCACTCAAGAAGCAGGAAGTGACAAGGAAAAACAAAATGCAACTAAATGCAACTGGCCGAAAAGCAGCATCACCATGCAAGTTAAGAATTGCGTTTGCGTCAAAGCTAATATGCTAAGCTGACGGCGGTGTTCAGTCATTTTTGTTTGCCACATGTTTGCTCCCAAAAAAAGTCACCTGTCACCACTTCACCAAATGTCAGCACCTCGCGCCTAGTAGAAGCGTACCAAATGATCAGGATCTTGTCACATCTTGTCACTGCTTTCCACTCCAAAATGTTGACACCTTCTTTTTGAAAATACCGGGTCATCAGACACCATTACTACTATTATTGAAGACCGACTGTTCTTATATTTCATGCAAATGGGAGTTGCTCAGATCAAACCGATTCCCTGACGGGATTGTCGGGTAGGGCAGTTGTACAACAGATCACTTCCGCAGACAACCCTAGCCGGTCCAATTTTAAGGTCATCCGCACTGCTCACCCGGGCAACAAACAATAAATCTTGCAGTTGCCGTGCTTTTGACGACCGCACATTTTCACCAAATAATCGTCAGGTTGCAATCTACACAGATTCACAATATGTCATAGACCTCATTCATCGTTACTGCTGTTAACAAATGACTCCAAAACCACACAAGGTGCCACATTGAGATCTCGTTTAACAATGTTTAGCAGATCATAATAATGTGGCATTAGGAGTTCAGTCGGTTTTTCATCTGCAAGGTAAAATAACATCGCCCATACACTGAAGCCAAGTCTAAACCTGATTTGGTGGTCATATTGGGCAATGAATGCGCAGACATTGCGGCGCTGGCCATGCACTGCCAATTTTCCATGTCATCGCTAAACGACCGTTTCGCAAAGGCAGCCAAAAGGAGTTGCAAGACTGGACGTTCAGGCTGCTTTACTTGCATCTACATGATCTTGATGAGACCCGAGCTGTGGTTATGGATGAGTTACGGACTTCACTCAACCTTCAACAATCTAACTCATTCTCTACTCTGGCCAAGGAGGATGATGCACCACAGGATGATCCATATGACAAAACATTTTTTTAATTGCAGTCTTCCGAGTGTGCTACCTCCTGTAGTACACCCCTCCCTTCATTCTGCCAGGCAGTTGCTTCGTGCTGGGGGCATCGAGTTGCTTTTCAAGGTAATACACACATAGTAGTTTCTTGTTGCTAGTACATAGTTTTTTGTTCCTAGTAACGATGCCCGGGTTCCTAGTAGCGATGCCCTTGTTCCTAGTAGTTTCTTGTCACTAGTAGTATGGAAATTTCTTTGTCAGCTACACCCTCTTCTGTGGGACAAGTTCTTGACTCCGGCATCACTTGGTATGAACTTACGGTCGCATATGTGGCCTATTTTGGCAATCATCTTCCGACTTGACAATCATCACACGGGGCAGAAAGTGTTCGCCATGTTGCTACCCCGCTTCAGACTCTTTCAAAGCATCAACTTCTGCCCAAATATGCAAAGCAGGGCAATTAGCTTGCAACAATCAAGTTTCGAATGCCCATATGTCGGTTTTTCATCGCCGACTTTGGTTACCGTATGCTGATGCTCTTGCTACAATCCTCAAAGAATACCGCCCCTTCAAGCCACCATTGATGAAAATTTATCCTGGCACCGCCACAGCTTAAACTCATATTTAAATACCCAAGTACACCTTGCTACTCGGCAGAAGCCACTTGACTCTATTACACTACCACGGATTTCACCAAGAAACACATTCTTTTTGCACTTTGCAGTTCGCGTTTTTCTCTTCTGCATATATATATATGTATATGCACGGCAGCCGGAGGTCTCAAGCACTGATGGATGGGAATCGATCACGAACGATGGCAAATGGCGGAAAGCGATTGGTCAAAATGCGATGCTTTTCCCTCGAACCCAAGCTCCGTGAATCAACTCTCGATGAAGGGAGTCCAAAGAATGGTTGTTTCTTTGCATGCCACCTGATCTCTTGCAACCTCTTTCAAAAGCAACAAAAACCCGGACCACCGGAAACCCAAACCACGAACGAACAACGCAACCCCCTAGGCCACGTGTGGAGTGGTGGTGCTGTGGCTGTAAGTGTTCTCAAGTGGTGTTTGTCCCTGGGGTCTTCTCCTTCGTGCCGATGACATAGTGGGGTCTTCTACGATTCTCCAGGTCTGGTCCATGTCATAAAAGAGCAGGAGCTGCCTTAGTTCACGTCCCTTAGTGAGGCCATTCGTAAGTTGAGCTTCACTGTGAACCCACCTGACCTGAAGGTTGTTGTGGTTCTGTGAATCCTTCAACCTCATGAGGGTTATGTCGATCCGCCGTTCAGCACCTTTTGGGCTCAAGACTTCGGTCTTCAGTTTATCGTACACATTTCGACTGTCTGTGACTAGACAGCCTGGGATTCTGTTGACCAAACTATTTGGTTCTTGAATCCTGAAGGCATAGCCGAGCATTTCGGCAAGCTGAAAACGGCAAAAGTACAACAAATCCTCTCCATGTACCGCCGCTAGGGCCTCGTTGGCACCGGGGCTGGAACAAATTCTTTGAATCTTGGAGGATTGCCATGCCAAAATGTCACTGGCACACATTCGCCTTTCAAAAGGGACTTGGGAGCAGCTCCTATTGCTACTCCAAGGGTACTTCCTCCGCCAATTCGGTTCTGGTTGGCGGCATCTACCCATGAAACAAGAACTATGTCTTCTATATCTAATTTGTGAATTCTCAACTTGTGCTCCTTCATGTGTTTCACTTGGTCCAGCAGTCTGTTGGCATGGAACAATGTGTCGACTGTGCTCTGACTTACTTCGGTCAGCATCAAGCTCACGTCAGCAGAAAAATGAGGTGCCACCTGTTGGCTGTACCAACTCAAACCACCCAGCAATCCCCGCAGCTGTGTTTTCTCCAAATCATCCGTGGGTGCATTCCTCTCACGGCGACGTGATGCTCTGATGTTGATGGCTGGAATTTCTTCCACATAATGCTTTTGTGAAAGGGTATATGAACCATCGGCTTCTTCTTCAATCAAAACACCACATTGAACAAAACGACTTTCCTCCCAGTCACTCCACTTGAACTCGTCCTTGATGGCCTTCTCTATCGACTGCCAAAGGGGGTCGTCTGACCGACCTGAGAACAGAAAGTCGTCCACGTGGCCGGAAATGATTCCATGCAGCTTGTCATCTTTGACGAGTGTCCAGCAGCAAGGGTCACTCCAGCAACACTTCAGCCCTAGACGGTTGAAAAAGGAGCAAACACTTCTATACCATTCCAGCGGGGCGTCTACCAAGCCATAACATGCTTTCCGAACACGTGTCATAGAGCCAGGTTCAAGGCCCATGGCAGCGCATATTTCTGGACAAGGAATGCAGATGAGCTGGTCTGGACTGTAAAAAAGCACCAGTCACATCTCCCTTCTTGGTCTTGAAACCAAGGGAGGCGGCTATTTGCAGCTGCATCTGTCGTGTCTGCCGCGTTGTGGTAGGTGAGTGTGTTGCTCGTTCTTCATACTTGGGGTCTTGGTACCCCTGCAGGACTGCTCTTGCCTTAGCCTTCTTGGCGCCATCTTCTTTGAGCTTCCATGTAAGAATCCATCTCATGTGGACCGCATCCTCCCTTCTGACTCGCTTGTCAGGGGGGAGAGCTTCAAAGGCTCTTGCTGACAAGAAATTTGTGACTTCGACTCCTTTGGCAAGATCGAATTGTTTTCGTTCTTCAGGAGTCATCTTTCGTTCTGACAGCTCTATTGCCTTTCGTTTCATGGCGCCCACAAAGAAGGCTTCGTTGATGGCCCGAGTGGCGCAGGCCTTGCTGGTCGGCATTTCCAACTCTATAGTGTATACCATGTCTTGGAGGTCTGGATTTCCGGCTTCTTCTGTAAAATAGGACTCATGGACCAGGGTGGTCCAATGAGCTGCCGCTATGAATCCGGATGCTCCTGGTTCTGACCTCTGGTTAGGTCGGGCACTGGAGGATGGTCCTGAGGCCACTGGTCTCCATGGAGGGCTGCGGCTTCTGGCGCGGCTTGACTCTTCTGGTGTGTGTCCTGTGGTTGGTTCTTCCTCGACTGCTTCTGAGCGAGACTTTTTCAGACTGGACATGGGTGGCTCTTGTGGTCGGTGCTTGCCGGTCACCCGGCATGATGGTTGCCACTCATGTAATGGATTGGCTGCTCGCCTCCATTCAGTCTCCTCTGGTTGTTCACGAAGATCCTCATAGTCGTTGTTTCCCAGTTCTTCTGCCACTATGGGGAAGTCCCAGGTTGGACTTTCCTTGGGATCATGAAGCTCCGTCAAGATGACTTCACGTTCAGAGGCATGTCGAAGTTGTTCGGGACAGCACTTGAGGAGTCTTCTTCCACGGACAAGCCACACTGAGCTTCCTGGCTTGAGCTGTCCATTCTCCTGCCGGGTGTGTTCCACTGCTAGGATGCGGGCAGGACCGACAAATCGGCCTTGTCCGGACTTGTTTTGTTGCGCATCTTCTCCAGTCAACTGCTTTCTCCATATGAACACAAGGTCACCTGCTGAAAAATCCAACACACGCCGATGTCGAGAATGGGTGGCTCGTTGAATTCTTTCCTTAGCCATCCAGTCTAGGAAGGCCTTTTCGGCTGCTAGGCGTAGCTGTTGGTCACGTTCCATGGTCTCTGTTGCCATGGGCAATTCACCAGGTGTGATGAGGTCACGAGTCACTGGAAAAAAAAACGTCCGTGTTCGTCAGGGGCACGGCCAAGAACATACTGAACAGGAGAGAAACCTCTGACGCTCTCTCGATGATTGAGCGTGCGGGTGGCTTCTGCAAGAACCTGTTCAGCTGGCATGGTGGGCGC